TCTCTTTACACAGAGGGGACACATGTCGACGTAGAAGAGACATGAAAAAGTGGATTTTGCACAATAGGTGACCTTTAAGTTACAGAATTAAGCTGTGACTTGGCCTCAGAGATATGATCAAGGTTTCCCCTGAGAGCATCTGGGGTGGAAAGGTGCAGTGGTGAACGGGTCTTCCAGGGGTCTCCCCCCGATGGTCCAGGAATGCAGGGGCCCCACTGCCACGGAGCCCACCGCGGCCTGCTGACCGATCCTGGAGACGACCCGGTGCACGACCACCGGCTGCTGGAGCAGAGGGGTGGCCCAGACACGGGGACACTGGGGAACGGGAGGGGACGACTCTGGGACCGGGGGACACTGTTTGCTGGTTTCAATCTGCGGTTCAGATATGTGAGTGCTAGCTTGGGTGGTTTCCTGCCTCTTTCCAAACGGTGCCTGGAGGAAGATATCGGATGCGGCAGCAGGTTTGTGCGACTTGCAGAAGGAGGGGCTGCTGAAGGGCATCTTGCTCTCTTTTTCTGGCGTTTTGAAAGGAGCCAGCTGGAAGACATCAGAGGAGACCAGGCTGTTTGGAGGCTGCAACTGGGACACTGGGTTGACAGGAATAAAAGGCAGGCTGGTGGAAGTAGCTGGTATTGTGCTGCTGTCATCTGATGGCAACATGTGTTTATCATAGACGCATGCAGCATTGTTTGGCTGGATCTCCGGCCTATGATTCTCCTCAGAGAGCTGCACAGGAGCCTCAGTCTGAGCATCTCTCTGTGCATCCCTCTGCAGGTCTGTGAGAGAGGAGATGGAGAAGGGTCAGATATGAAGACACATGCATCAAAGATCTGCTGACCTCTTACAGATTATCTCCAATTTAATATATACAGCTATATCTATGACATAAACATTAAGGAAAGGAGTGTTAATGAGTGTTACCTGTATTCTGTTCATGTGTTTTACTGCCACCTGTTCAATATGTTACACTTTCTTGTGCAAATGTTGGGTTATGTTAGCTGAAGACATTTTTCCACTGGTGGACAATACATTCTAGTTTAATATTTCCAAAGTGGATCAAAAGCCAAAACCATACTTGTCAAAGATTGGGTTTGTATTCCAGTTCTTTAAATCATACATCTTGCATCTAGAAGCTTAAAAGAGTGATTGGAAAAAAATAGCCCCACCTATAAAGGATTTTAGTGTTCAATAGAGATTTCTATCAGCCATGTATCAGTGGGCAGATATATATATTTTTACAGAAAAACATGATCAAATGTCATGTCAGTGCTCCAGTGTTGAGCAAGATATGAATTGCACATTTGACAGTTCAAATGTAAACGTGTTAGTGTTCTCTATATAGAAAACATCTGTAATTAGTCTATAATTGTCGGTCAGGCTCCAGAAATAATCAAAATCCATTAAAATGCGGTATATCCCTGACTTTTGACTCCACTTAGTCCAGATTTGTTACTGTAAAGCACTTACTCATCACTGTACCCTGTATGCCAAGGCAGGTCTGCCTTCACTAACTGTACGGAGGCTCGGTCATCGGTACATGTTTATCTATAAAGCCATGTTGGGTAAACTACCAACTTATATATGCTCTTTGATCTCACAGAGAGTGGCAAGTAGCTATTGCCTGAGATCCCAGGATGTGTTTTTATTACATGTGCCAAGTGCTAGAACTGTTTTAGGTACTAAAGCTTTTATGTGTGCTGCTCCTCTAGCTTGGAACACTATGCAATTTTTTTTTTAAACTGAGCAATTTGGTTCCCTTGCATCATTTTAAAGCTCGGATAGATAGAATGTTATTGGATATCTGTCAGTGTGAATAGGTTGCTAATTTATACCCCTGTAATTATGTTGTATGAAGTCCTTTTTGTTTTCTGTTGTTTTTATGTGTAACCAATGTGCTGCAGGTCTCCCTTGAAAAAGAGATTGTTGATCTCAATGGGATTTTCACCTGGTTAAATAAAGGCTACAAACAAACACACTTAATTTAGTGGAAAAGGATAGCCTCTTTGAAGTTAAAGCAATAGTAAAAAAGTGAAAAAAAACTAAATGTATTGACAAATACAATAGAGCATGAAGGTCTTACCTGAATAAGACTTAACCTGCTATCTGAGCAGAATACATTTGGATTAGTGCATTACACAGTGTGATGCATTATTGAACACATTTACAAATAAATTACCAGATCATTTATTCCGGACTCAATGAACTTCATGCAGATATCTATACACGGAAGTCTTTACCCCATTTCAATAGCATTTGACTCCTTTGATATTATTAGCCGAACAAATGATTTAGTCTCATGACAAACATTGGAGCCTACATTACCCATAATGCAACTTAACTGGGGACACTTCGATCATTATGAAAACAGTCAACACCTTTTTTTAAATAATATATTAGTTCTTCGGTTGAGTAACTTCAACCAATATCCTGGACATTAAGGACATCTTGCAATCAATACTCAACACATTGACATTCACATTTGTATTTTATTTGCCATCCCTTTATAATTCTTTAATTATCTCACAAAAATAGAAGGAGCACACGATACCACAGCTCTGGTTTGGGCCATCAAGACAAGAGTAGTCTCAAAACACTCAGAAGAATCAGATAAACAGGTTTCATTTTTTGGCAAAAACAACAGAGAAAATGACGGGCTTCTGTTTCACATCAAGGAGTAACCTCACTACCTTTTAACACCAGAACACCGGCGGCTACAGGGAGAGAGCTCGGGGGTTGCATATAGGTTCAAACAGTAACTGTGAGTTGTTCAGAGGAAGGGTCATTAAGAGGATGATGGAAACAAGAGCCTTCAGTTCACATGCAGTACCTACAGGAAATACCTCAGAGACGTGCCTCTCCTTTAAGCCCCTGTCACACTGTCCTGAAATGTACACCCGATGGACACACGAATATGGAATTGTGAATTTCGCACGAAGATGGCTCCAAACCACACACGAAGGCAACATTTACATTACATTTAAGACATACAACTGCAACGAAAGTAACACAAACAATTATGTTACAGTACTATGAGATACTGTACTGATATCTTCAGACTTTGTTCTTTACTTTCTCCGTCTTTATATGTAGAAGATATTAAGTTTTCTCCGTCATGTTGTTTCCATAGCAACAACAACTTCCTGTCAACTCGCCTTCAAAATAATATATTATATTCTTTTTAGTTTCACAGAACACAAATTGGGTTATTTACATAATATGTTTACATGATGTTGTTGTGCAATAAAACAACCCGATGGACACACGATAAAGAAAATGTTCAAATTCGGCTCTGATCGTAGCAACATCGGGCCATTCGTGAGGGCATCTAAGCCATCGTATGACCGCCGGTGGAGTTTCTCAGGCTCCGGCAGCAACTTCGTGAGCGGTGACAAAATCTTTGGCATGCCAAAAAATAGCCGAAGGACCTTGCGAAGGTTCATTTTCGTGTTGAATTCGTGTGTCAATTGTGCCCTTCGTAAGGCCATCGTGAGGGCATCTTGTTATCATCGGTGCCATCGGGCATTCGCCCCGATCAGAGTGAGGGTGAATGCACCGATGATAACACGAAGATGACACAATTTGACAAGATGCCCTCACGAGTGCCTTACGAAGTTGCCGCTCACGAAGTTGCTGCCGGAGCCTGAGAAACTCCACCGGCGGTCATACGATGGCTTAGATGCCCTCACGAATGGCCCGATGTTGCTACGATCACAGCCGAATTTGAACATTTCCTTTATCGTGTGTCCATCCGGTGTCAATTTCGGGACAGTGTGACAGGGGCTTAAAGGTTCTGCAAAGATAAAAGGATGTAATTCAATAGTTTACATCAGGAGCTCTACTCAAAATACTCTCAATCTTAGGTGGTAAATGAATACAATTGAAATTAGACAGGAATAAAGATGTTTCTCATGATATTTATCATCAAAGAACATGAGAAGAAGTCACTGCTCCATGTTTTAAGTACCATTCTCAGATTTGAGGTGATTGATTTGACACTGCTGCCTTACAAGGTAACTATTGTATTTCATTTAAAAGGCTTAGAAAGAGGTTTTAAGCTAAAAGCACGTCAAAACTGTTGTTCGTCGTCTTATTACTTATTAAAGTTGCAGTAACGTTGAATCTAATCTAATAATTAGATTAATAACATTAAGATCCATGCGCTTTATCAGCATTTAACCAAACGTTTCTTTCAAAAAGAGACCTTTTAATACCAAATGACATCCAGATTGTTGATGAATCTAAATGACTGTGCCACCTGAAGACTATTTTAAGTAGAATTCTCCAGACCGATCGCTCTCCAGCGTAGTGTAATCATGCATGAGAAGATAACCTTGTTTGACCTTACAGAAACGTTTCTATTGCAGATTGTTTTCAAACCCTGGACTTAATGCTGAGTTGTTGTACCTCCACTGTTGGCATATGAACCTTTTCACACTTCACAGAGCCCCTCACACATGAGCCTATCAGACAGATTCAGTAACATGGAGTGCAGACTTCCAGAGGAGGTGTGAGGCCAAAACAAATCCAACTCTCAGATGTAGCTCGGACTTCCTGAGAGAATTAAGAGGGAGGGGGGGGGGGCTCTGCTTTCAGAAGAGATTTTAACGACAACGTGACTGTCACCGTATTTGCAGCAAACATCAACACAAGGAGGCTACTGGAAAACATATCCAACAATTCTAATTCTGACTCCACACACACACACACACACACACACACACACACACACACACACACACACACACACACACACACACACACACACACACACACACACACACACACACACACACACACACACACACACACACACACACACACACACACACACACACACACACACACACACACACACACACACACACACACACACACACACACACCACACACACACACACACACACACACACACACACACACACACACACACACACACACACAATAACACTGTGTACCAACACACACATAACATTCAACAACACTGCCATGCTTTTTGATACTAACTCTGATCACTGAAGTCCGTAAAGACAAACGGAGCTTTACAAAAGCACAATTTTTCAGAGAAATTCGAGATTTTGTAGCGATGAAATGAAACAGAATTCGAAGAAGTCCCACTTTCCGTACAACTGTCAACTGTTTATGAATAAAAATATAATCCTTCATTAGTCCGCGTGAACACAGGCTCACTTTCTTTTCACAAAGAGGAGGAGGAGGAGGAAAACATGGGATTCAGTCTAGGAATATCTATACATTTTAATGTACCGACAATAATTGAATAAGATAAAACCAAGAAAAACCTTCTCAACCCACAATTTCACAAAGAGGAATGAAATATTTATATAGAGTATTCTTCAATATCATTCAGTGATTATGGTGTCAGAATCATAGATATTTTATTATTATAGACTACTATTTATTTCTTACATTCATTCTCTAACACTCTATTCATATCAACATTTATTAACAGGAAAACAATGTCATTTTTCAGTCATATATCTATCACATATATATGTACATATATATATGGATGGATATGTGATATTTCACAAGTAAAGCAATATGTTTTCCACAAGTAAAGCTTTATGACAATGACTTAATATATACACGGGAAGATAACAGCCTGCAGGGGATGCAGATATCTATTTACATCAATTAGGAGTGAACACATGACAGGAATGTAGGGAGGATTGCACGATGCGGAATGAGTGTTCATGTTGATAATCAAACAAAAAGTGCAAGTGGGTGGAAATGACTTTTTTTAAATGCCATTTTAGTGCCAAAAAAAACACCTGAATAGCCTTAAATGTTTGCTCTATAGACAAAAGCTACTGTTTATTTTGTCTATTCATCTATTACTGCTGATTAATCAAATTATTGTTATGATTTCATGCATTTTCTATAGATATGGCACACTGCTATGAACAATGTTAAATGACCCTGGTTTGTCATTTAATTGCAAATCAACATATTGCTTGCTTAGAGTATACACTTTAAAAAAAGATCATAATAAAAGCCAACTGATTCTCATTTGAAAATGTATTAATTTGTCATTTATTTATTTTGCTATTATATTGATAGTTTTAACTTTCTCCAGTCTGTCTGCAGTTTGTTTACAGATTGTTTGATGGCACTTTCACGGTAAAGTCTGATCAGGAAAACTGTTAAGGTCCTGTTATTCTCTTCATTACAAGAACTCATAATATAGGACATCTGTTTATGGCTGTTTCCAGATTGTAATTTTAAGTCTAATCTATATCTATATATATATTCAATTGTTTTTCGATATTCCACGCAACAGCCCTGACCGAGGTAACATTAATGATACTGTGCAAATCAGCCTGATGTCGCCGACATGACTAAGTTTCCCTTTAAAAAGAAATAAACTGACCTCTTTTAAACAAATGGTCACTTCACTTTCCTATGGGTTTAACTAGTACTCTAAAATGTGCAAATAAAGGAGAATTGAAAAAGGCAAACAACGACAATATCACTTGTGCACGATAATAACTACAACCACTTATAACTATGCCTATTGTACAATACAACAATGATCTCCTATTGTTTGCTATTAGACATAATGGTAATATTGCTCAAACAAACTGGATAGCAGAAGTATATCCTGATTGACAGAAAGATGGTTAGTCTTTAGGAAGGATGCTGTTAGTGTTACTGGCCGAAAGAGAGAGTGTGAGTGAGGGGGTGAGAGATGGGGGGTGAAGAGGAGCCAGACAACGATTGAGAGGTATGAAGAAGCGCAGAAAGGCGAGAGAGTTTCTACTGTAGGGGGGGGGGGGGTGCAGGAAGCGATGACAACAGTGTTGATTGCCGTTATGCTATGCCAGTCTATAATCCGGTGTTACAGCGTCTACGGGGGGGGGGGGGGGGGGGTAGCCGCCTACAAGTCGATGAGCTGGTCCACCAGCTGCAGAGAGCGGGCCAAGCTGGGGGGCAGGCTGGATTCAGAGCCGCCACTGTTACTGCGCGAGTGGCCTCCTGAAACTGGCCGGAGAGAGGGGGAGACGAATACAGGCAAACAGAGGAGGAGGGGAGAGCAGAAGAGCGGGAGTCACAACAAGCATGGTAGCAAAGGAGAGGGGAGAGAGGTCGAGAGAGAAAGAGAGAGGGCAGAATTTACCCATTTACATCTAAAACACAGAGGACGTTAAATAGATCCTGTAATGATCCCGTTAGCACTACGTTTGACTATCATGTTCATTATTTAGCATATCAGCATGCAACTGAGGGAAGACCCAATAAACACTTTGTATTTATTCCTAAAAAGCAACTTGACTCACTGGTGGAGGAGGTGAAGACTAACCTTGGGAGTTCTTCCGGCCAGTGACGGGGATCGGATCAAACTCGTCCTCCTGGTCCTCCGCTGGGGTCGGCTGCAGCTCGAAGTCTGAGATCAGGAGAGACGAGTCTGCAGAGGACGCAGAAAGGTGGGTTGTTGATGTATAAGTCTTAAAGGGACCGTATTATGTTTTTTGGGGTTTTCCATTTTTTTTAATATAGTGTGTTATATAGGTTTTTGTGTGTGTAAATGGTCTGCAAAGGCTTAAATCCAAAGGTTCCCACCAGAGGGAGTTACTCTCCCCCTGACTGAACACTTTATAGGACTCTTGTTTATTACCGTAACAGTGACATAACTACACTAAACACCTGTGATTCTATCGGCTAGCGCTCCAACACATTGTACGTGATAGGCTAAGAGGCGGGACATCTCTAAAAAGTTAAACAATCTCTACGATTGTTGGTCGGGCCAAAGTGCTGTACATGTAATAAATACTACAATCACTTAAAAACACATTACTACATTCATAATAAAAGACAATAAATTACAACAGATATATAGAAAACACAGGGAAAAGTCAAGAGTCGTGCTCCGCTCTGACTAAAAGGCCAGGGAGAAGAAGTGTGTTTTAAGAGTAGATTTAATATGTCCTCTTTAAGAGCCCAGAAGGTTTTAGATTGGGAGTGAAAAGTTTAGAATAAGGATCATTGTGGCGGATTTAAAAGAACATTGTAGAATAGATGATTCATCCAAACGTAGTTCAGGCTAGGGCTACACGATATATCGTGTCATGGCGATAATCGTGATATTCACATCGCGTGGACGTGCAATTTTTTTAGGACTTGCGATATTAAGTAGGCAAATTAACTCAAACACGTCATGTTACAATTATTTTGCTGCTTGCTACAAAAGGAAAACTTGCGCGGCTCTCATGTCAGGGGCACTTGAGTGAGTGACATGCAGGCTCTGCATGCACAGCAAACCACCAATCAAATCTCCAAAGCAAACGGACCCGGTGATTAAAGGTAGAAACACCGAATAAAGTGGTTTCCTGTGTTTCTCCAGGGCAGAGGGCGCTGCTAACCGAGCTAGCTCAGCTTGTTGCTCTGATAACTTAAGATCCAGACGTCCGTGACTAAAATCCTTCATCCGGTTAAATATAGTTAAAAAAATACCAATTGTATCATTAACGTTCAAGAAAGGATGGTTTGCGGGAGAAAAAAAAACGGTCTTTTCTTCAATTCCTGTATGTTTTCATATCGCAATATATATCGCAGGGGGGGGGAAAAATCGCAATGTCAGTTTTTTCCAATATTGTGCAGCCCTAGTTCAGGCTTACAATCAAATAACTCAATACCTTAGTTAGCATGAGAAACAAAATCAGCAGTGAGTGCACTAACACATCGGAAGCTCTTCAGTAGCTAAAAGATAAAACAATAAGATGCCTCAGTAATAATTGGCATCATGCCAGGCTGTGATGCAGAAAGTCAGAAGCCTTCATTCACCAGTCAAGAGCCAACAACTACGACACAGCTATGAAGCGCTCAATGTCAGACATGAAAAAACAACATATATGAAATATGGTTTTGAATTGTTTTTACCTGGCTTTAATGTTGAAACTGTATGAAGTTATTACGACAGATTGGATTATACATCTTTTTAAACCTGTGATGAAAATGCTTTTGCTGCCCCTTAGTGGTTTAAAATGTAATGAACAGAATTGTTGTTGTCTACTGTAGCATACAATTTAGCTCAGTAAACAACACGTGCTGTGTTCATCTTTGGGAATAAAATAATAACCCTAAGAAACCGAAGCATTTCTGATATTTCTCCAAAAGAAAGCATCTTTTGGCTAAGTATGTTCGCCAAAATGTTGCAGAATTTCGTCCATAAATGCTTATACAATTATTTGTACTGAGTAACTTGCTTGTTCACACGCTTAGTTTTGATGTCCTTAAATGCATTTTAATGTTTTATTAATGTCCTATGTGAAATGTTCTGAAATGCCTTCTGTTTTACATTTTTAAAAGCCTTGTTTCTGAATGATGCTCTATAAATGCAATTGTCTTGCTTCTGTGGAGAAACAGTTCTTGAGAATCTTCGGGGCTCTTTACCCGTGTGTATAAACCAGTCTTCAGATGTGTACAGCTTACCTGCTACAGGCGGTGCAAAGTCCCCAGACAACAGACTGAAATCATCCAGAGCAGAGGCAGCGGAGGAGGGAGCGGAGGAGAAGGAGGAGGTGACGCTGCTGCTCGCTGCCGGGGGGGCGGAGGAACCGGAGATCAGAGAGCAGCCCAGGAGAGAGTGGTCTGTGGTGAGAGGGTCTGGAGGGGGCCGGAGGACATACAGGTGAAGGAAGAAGAGGGAAAAGGTTTAGATATGGTTCAAGTGTAAAGAGAACAAGGAGAGATGACTAAGATCTACAGAGATCCTGAGATGCATGCACCGACCCTTGGACTTATGTTACTTTTACAAATGAAAAGCTTTTATGTTTCCAGACCTTTTAAACTCTTAGAAACAAAACATATGCCTGCAACGGAGTGCACACACACACACTCATACACACACACCTTTTGCAGCCACTTCCACAGAGCAGCCGAAGGGATCAGACAATGACAAGAGGTCCTGAAGCAGGAGTGAAGATGGTTCTGGAGATTTGAGTCCTTCTATCAGCTTTTCTGGAGGCCAATGAATAATAAGAGACGATAAATGAGACATATGTGAGCAAAGTGCAATACAAATATCAGTTACACATTTAAAAACCCATTTCAAATACTACCGGTATAGCAAACAAACAAACAACTGCTAAGAGTGTGTACTGTACAGATGGATATTTAGTCTAGAGCCAGACTTGCTGCTGATCATGCACCTGATGTTAAGATCATGCACTTATAATTAAATATTTATTCAACGTTAATTCACTTGGCTAAGGACCATGAACAAATGCTTTTTCAGGTATTGAAGATTTTGGAAATAACATATCAGGATTTTATTTTCTGGCTTGTCATGAATGAATACTTATGTATATGGCCAATATTTGTACACAATACCAACAAAGAAAAAGACTACAAATGGGTGAGGTTGTGTGTGTACCATAAACCCACAGAGCGATGTTACCTGGTGTATCTGACAGATCGAGGATACTGAAAGGATCTGGGACAACCAGCTGAGAGGCTCCTGAATCCACATCAACAAGGTTTGATGCTCTTTCAACTAGGAAACAGAAGAAGTGTTTTACAGCAAAGACTTTTAATCCATTACGAATCCTAACAGCATTATGGGAGGAAGCCGATTTCTTTGTTGGTGCCTTTCAATAAAAAGGGTCCAAACTTCTTGTTTTAAGTCATAAATAGAATACCATTATCTTGGGGTGTATCCACAGTTAAGTCCAGCAGGCCTGGTATCAACTCCTCTGTGGATGGTGGCTTAGTTTCTAAAAGTAAATCTGAAAAAAGGAAATTCCCAGTTATGAATCAACAACACATTTAAACACACACATGCACACACAGTAGCACTGATGATAGTACCTGTAGGCTTTTTGTCCTCAGTTTTGAAACCATTTGCAGAGAGGTTGGAAAATGTATCATCGTCAAATGGGTTCCATGCAGGTTGCGAGGCGGAGTCGGTGGTCTCAGCAGGGGGTCCAGATTTGTTCTGGTCCTGGCCTCCATCAACAACACCAAAGTCAACAAGCTGGGCGGTACTGGGTGGAGATGCAAGTGATCTACAGGTAAAGAAGGGTCATAAGATAAGATCAGAAGTAAAGGAAAAAGGCTTGATTTGAGGTTTCTCTTCAGGTGTATTCCAGTAGGGTCAACGCACTGGTTGGGGGCAGCGTCTGCATTAGCTCCCTGCGGCTGCTGCGAGGAGTCGCTCACAGGAACTCCAGCGACGCCGCGCACTGTGGCATCACTCGGTTTGGCGTCACTCGGTGTGCGCTGGTGGCCTCGCTCTTCAGTTGTCTTTGGAGAGGAAGGAGGAGTCTGATCACAAGAAGCAAAACACAGGAGATCAGGAAACAGTCTATAGAGGATCTCACAAGTAACATAAAGTGTCACAGACAAATGGGTTTCAATGTTTGATAGAAATGTGTGGAAAATTAATGTAATCAAGTTTTTATTTAAGTCAAAGTCAACTTTATCGTTAATCTTTCAGTTTGTGTGTACAGGCAGAGGGATCGAAGTACCGTTTCCCAGAAATCCAGAGGAATACAAAATAAGTATACAAATATGTATATACATGTGTTATTCTCTGTCAAAGCGTCTTTGAGTGTTTAGAAAAGCGCTATATAAGTGTCATGTATTTTTATTATTACATATATATATATATATATATATTTGTAATCTTTTTTCTCAACTTTTTTTTATTTTATTGAGACATATTAAAATATTAAGATTTTTGAAAGAGAAAGAAGAAGAAATGGAAACAATTGATGGATATAAGAATAACCAGAACACGAGGCCATGCTGCTAAAACATTGCACGCATAAAGTTAAACTTCTTTCATTCTGACTGCTCTCCGATGTTCGACCATGTTGAAGCTGGATAGTGTGCAGAACTCACCGTCTCAGCTGTTTTCGGGCCGCTCTCAGAGGGGGCGGGCTGAGCCTGGGCGGCTGATGGCGGAGTTATCTGCTGCTGCTGAGAGACCAGCGGCTGACCTGGGGCCTGTTTGACGGGGGAAGCCTGAGCCGCCGGCTGCTGAGCCTGCTTACGCCGAGCGGGACGCTGAGGAGCGGCCGGGCTCGATGGAGCGGCCTGCTGGGAGGGGGCGCTGGCTGAGGGGGGGGGGGTGGTCTGCTGCTGAACTATGGGCTGTGCTTGGGGTTCAGCCTTGGTCACTGGAGACACCACTGCTGCTGCTGCTGTGATCTCTGCGGCTGGCTGCACCTGCATCACACACAGATACACTGTCACACACTGCAAACCATCTTAACTGAGATGGTGCCCAAGGTCCCACAGCAACTGTACATTTATATTTGTGTAGGGCTGACATTTATGATCATTTTTTCTATATATATATAATTGTTATCAATTTATGATTGATGCCCATCACAAGTTCCCAGAGAACCAGGCTACTTTTTGAGCTCATTTTGTCTGACTCACAGTCCAAACTCTAACTTGATAAATGACTTTAACAATTACCAACATTGTAGCACTTTATATTTGTATCAATCTACATATGTATGAATTAACAGCACTTGTGTGAAGAAGACCATTACTTAGGCCAAACATACTTAATATATTTGTGTAAGCTGACATTTATGATTATTTTGTGTATACTTGCCCATCACAATTTCCCAGAGAACCAGGTTACCTTTTGAGCTTGTTTTGTCTGACTTACAATCCAGACTCTAACTTGATAAATAAATTAAACAATTACCAAAATTGTAGCTACTATGTATGAAATAACAGCACTTGCGTGAAGAAGATCATTGCTTAAGAATCCAAACACAAAAAGCCAGACATGCATTATGCGTTGCTGACGATGCTTGTTTCTGCTGCTTTTTCCCCCACATTTGTCTACGGATCATTTTCCACAGTTACTAATAGACCCCTGTAAACAGCTCCTCTGTCTGTCAGTGTAATTCAGTATGTACCTGCTTCTGTGAAGCTGCAGCCTGATTTGAATTGTTTTGCGGCTGGACGATTGGCAGGACTGAAGTCTGAGCCTTCTGTGACTGCAGAGCTGCAGCCGGCTGAGAGAGGTTCAGACTGACTCCTGGGGGGTGTTGAAAAGAGCAGAGACTACAGATTACTCCACAGCATGGCAACATGTATCAATTTCAATAATTATAATATATAAAATTAGAGGAAAACGGTATGAACTCAGAGTGTGTGGGAAATCATTCCATAATCACTTTGGGCCTGTGGTTAGATCGCTTTAACCTGCCTACTTGATCTGTTCCTGTTGAGGATGCAGTATCAATGTGTGCACAAAGGATCAGAGAGATTTCTGTCTGTATGCACATCTTTATTCATCAAAAGTTCAGCTTCATTTTCCCATGACAGAGAGGAGCAAGGACAGAGTGCAGTACGTACCCACAGGCTGAGCTGCACCACCAGGGAGATTAGCCCGCTTGCGAGGGGTGAGAGCAGCCGGCTGGATGGGGAGGATGCCAGCGGCGGGCTGCGTATGGGCGGCTTTGGGCCTCTGGCGGGGGGTGATGGAGGTCTCAGTGGTGGGAATAGGATCCGTCAATCTGGCAACAAAAGGAGCATGTTGGCCTTCTTGTTAATCATGGCAAATAGTGTTAGTATAGTTATTTAATGAGTATCAGAACACTGACTGAACCTATTTACTTCAACAACATGTCCTGTTACTACAGCTTTAATGGTGGGACAGTGTGAGCCTGCTTGCCTGGGCTTAGCCTGGTTCTTCTTTGCTGCTGCAGCCTCACTCGCTTTGATTGGCTCAGGAAGTTTACAGGGAATTGGAGAATTCTGGATAATGGAAAGAAAAACAAAAACAATTGAATTGTTTGTTGAATTTCCACAAGAGAACTGTAGTAGTGACAAAGGAAAATATACAATTAGACAATAAAAACCTCCCAATTCAGCAGTAACAATAAAGACTATTTATACTGTTTGCAACTGATGAATTAGTGCAGATTTTCCTCCCTCACTGCGACAACAAAGTCAATTCCTGATGAGAGCCAGACAAGCATTTCCAAATATTTCAGCTGACGCGGTGCTGAGAGAGACTGACCTTCACATTCTGGACAGGGCAGGTCCGCTGAGCTAGTTTAAAAGCAAAGAAGGAGACCTGGTAGATGTCAGGTCTTTTCTCTTGGTCTGGCTCCAACATGTACCCTGAAAAACAACCACGAGGAAGCAACTCAAAAAGCTTCACTTGATATTCCTATTTAAACTAAAAATACATGCCTTTTTTTAAACTGAATTAGTTGTTTTTGAAAACATTAAAAACACTTGAGAAGGACTAACGAATGAGGCAGTGCAGATCATAAGAGTAGCGGGAGTTGTCTGGAATGGTGAAACTGCCATCACAGATGGCCACCTGGCTTTCACCAAAGGGCAGAGTGAAGAAACACACTTTGTACAGCAAGCAGCCCAGAGCCTGGAGAAACAACCACATGCCCCGTCACACCACACAAAGACAAAGGAGAGGGAAACACTTAATAATACACAATAAGGTAAAATAAAACAACCTTTGTCTCTCTAAATACCAGCTGTTAACATTTTAAAAACTGTGATTTCAGTCAAACATTTTAACAACATGACTGAATCTAAAATATCTGCGCCCTGCTGTAACAAGCCTACAGGTTTAATATGTTATGTCAAACTAAGGTTCTACTGTAAAAACTACAGCATAATAAAATCAATACTTTGATCCTGTTTTACCTGAATGGAGGCTACGGTGTTTATTTTAAAGGATACTGTATGTGTGTGCGTTCTTGTCATGGATATCACCACAGTGTGTCCTCCTCACTCACCCAGACATCTGATTTTGTAGTGATAATCTGGTTATTGTAGAGGTTCACCATCTCAGGAGCACGATATGATAACGTTGTGTACCTGAAGGAATACATTAACAACAACAAAACAAAATAAACTACCGGTTTAATGTGTGAGTGAAGAAAAACAGCTTACATAGTTCCATCTGCTCATAGATGCACTTTAATGCAAATAAAGTTAATTATTACATCCATTACTAATTACATTTACACCACACTAAGATTGTTTTGCTCAAATGTGAAAATATAAACTGTGCCATGCAGAACCCTGCTTTAATAAGACAACAAGACTGCTCATGATTGAAAAACGGCTGACCGTTTCTGTGAGGCTAGACCTAAAAGGAATGCTAATGAATGAAAGCTATAGGGGCAAAACTAGATGACAAGACGCACTAACTTTTTGATCTCTTCCTCCACGACGGCCACTCCTTCGGTCTGAGGGCTCTGGAACTTGTTGGTGGCGCTGCCAAAGTCACACAGCACATAGTGACCCTTGTCATGCAGGAGGATGTTCTCCACCTGACGATCAGATGAGGAGAAGGGATGGAAAACACTGTTAGGAGGCAGAGCCGTTATGCTCCAATACAGTCCGACACACAAACTACTAAACGTTTCGTTTTTTTTTAAATGTAATTCTAAAAAACACCACTGCAATAAAAAGTAGTCTTGCCATATGGATTAAATCCGCTGAGTGACAGTAACCTAAAATGACTGCGACAGACACGCTGCAGTTGACTGCGCTCTGGAGAAAGCCTTTTGACAACTGACAATCTCCTCTCCCCTCCTGTTGGAGCTCTGCATAATTAAACACAGCTTCAACTCACATATATTTTTATTTATTTTATTTAACCAGATAAAAGCATTGAGATAGAATCTCATTTGCAATGCTGACCTGGCCAAGAAGGCAGCAACGTTACACATAACACAAACATATAAAATACAGAGAACATAACTAAGAAAACAAAAGACGAAAAAGCAGTCACTACATTGTGCACATTAGGACAGTAAGAAAGGTGCACTACTTATTACTGCAAGAGCAGCTGGTGGTAAGGACTTCAGACAACTTCAATTTAAAACATGCTATTGAGACAAGTGCCCTCAGTTTTAGGCTTGATTGAAGGTCATTCCAAGACCAAGGACCATAATAAAAAAGACTCCTTTTCCCAGCCTCAGTCCGCACAGCAGGAACCTGGACCCGTATCCAGGCACTGGATCTGAGGTTGTAAGAGTCACAAACTGGAGCAAATCTGGCACATATGTACAGTGGAAGCTTACCTAAAATGGCTTTATACATTAATAAAAACCAATGCTGCATCCTACGCATAGTAAGTGAGGACCATCCAGTTAGGCTATACAGTTTGCAATGATGAGTCCTATAGGGTGCATTTGATATATATCGCAGTGCAGCATGGTAGAGTGGGTCAAGTTTGGCTAACACAGTGGGACAGGCAAATCTATAAATGGTATCACCGTAGTCCAGCTGGGACAGGAATAAGCCAGAGACCAACCTTTTACGGGATGAAGTTGAAAAACAACATTTAAGTGTGTAAAGGAAGCCAAGAGTGAATTTCAATTTCTTAGTTAGAACTTCAATATGGTGTTTGAAGTTGAGATTACTGTCCAACCAAAAGCCAAGATATTTGTAGGTATCGACAAACTCAACAGAGATGCCATCAAGGGTGTCAATGGAGAGGCAAGAGGACGCTGACTTGGGAGCAAAAACCATTGCTTTGGTTTTCTTACTGTTCAAAAGCAGTTTGGAATCAAGAAGCGCATGCTGCAGCGTGATAAAATCAGATTTTAAATTGGAAACGGCCATATCCAGAGAAGGAGCATATGAGTATACAATAGTGTCATCAGCATACATATGATAGGTAGAAAATTGCATCTGATTACAAATATTATTTACATATAATAAAAAGAGCAAAGGCCCCAAAATAGAGCCCTGTGGAACTCCCTTCTTCAAGGTGACAGGGTCAGAGACAGTACTACCCAACCTGACGCATTGAGTACGGTCGGTTAGATCACTCTGAAACCAGCAAATTTGGCATTATGACCGAAACGAGACATCAACATAACATTAGACATAATGTGGTGATATATAGTGTCAAATGCTTTGGCCAGGTCAATAAACAATGCAACACAAACAGATTTGTTATCCAAAGCAGCCTTAATATCGTCTAAGACTTTCAGACCGGCAGTCACAGTACTGTGCTTTGATCTGAATCCAGATTGCATAGGGTTAAGGATGTTGTGTGAATTTAAAAAAAGTTTTAGCTGAGTAGAAACTAGAGACTCAAGAATCTTTGATAACGCAGAAAGATTTGAGATAGGACGATAGTTATTTAACTCCGTGGGATCACCAGCTTTCAAGAGGGGCGATACCGGAGCTTGCTTCCACACAGCTGGCAGTGTGTGAGTGGACAAGGAGAGATTAAAAATATCAGTTACTGCAATCATATTGCTTCAAATACTCAGCATGGTGATCTTCAGTAGGTGTTGCCTTGGTTTTAACGCTGGGGCAACACACTGCGAAGAATACAAATGGCACAATGTATCACCTTAAGGTCTCTGTGGATGATGGGTGTCTTGCGCTGGTGCAGGCGAGAAACAGCATCACAGGTGTCACAGAAGATCTGCAGCACCTCAGCCTCAGTGAAGCCGGTCTGCAGCCTCTGATTCATCAAATTCACCACCTGTCCCCCTGCGAAACAATATCACATTATACAGCGTCAAACACACAATCACTGGTATACAATTGAACCTCAACTTGTGTTTTGTTATTCTGTGTAATTACTGATAATGGACCCAAACTCAAATTCTTTCAGTATTCTTAAAGAGTTCCCCCCTCAGCACTCACCCTTGCAGAAGTCCATAAGAATGAAAACCTCCCACACATCCCTTGATCCCATAGCAGTAATGCTGGAGTCCAGATAACCAACAATATTCTTGTGACCAACAAGGTCTTTCTGCAAGGACACAAATAGGCATTAAAGAGCATTAATAAACCGCCGTTCATAAAGGTTTTACCAAAAAGCACAACTACTGCTAACCTGCATCATGTGAAACTAGTGAATGAAAGCATTTCATAAGGGCTCGATTCATTCTTCAGAAAGGTTGTGTGACGGAGCGGGTCACAGAGTGACTGACTCCGCCACTGACAGCCGACACACACACCAAATATTTCCTGCTCTCTTCCGTCAAATGAACCATGCAATTTCTTATTTATTTTACGTTTGTTGATTATGGGGAATGATTATGTTAAGAGGTGGTTAACCTGTTTATGTTTGGGTCGGATTTTTATGTTGAAATGTGGTTTGAAGTTTAATTGTTGTCACCTGTTGACGGTAAGCCTGTGGGAGGGGTTATGAGCTCAAAAGGGACGGGGTTTGGCCCTGGAAGGGATCACTCTGAGGAATGTTGCAATGAAGGCAACAGCTGGGACATGTTTGGGAGTTGGTTGCAGAGAAGGCAACCCAGAGCATGTTTACTCTAATGAGTGATGGACGGCCTGTTTTTGGATTTTATTTTGTTGTCTAACTTGTGTTGGTTCGCTATTTTTGTTGTTGTTATAAATAAAGTTTTGGAGCGTAACCCAACCGACTAGGCCAGTGTTTGTGAACGGACAAATAGAGCCCCGTCACAGGTTGCCACAAAAATGACTAAATGATACGCAATACAACAAAACGATGGAGGAGAAAGGAATACTTCCATATTGTTTTTCTGCATAGAGGTAAATAAGAAGTTAAACGCCATCACACATTTAGTTTAATCTGGCCAGTGTTTAACGATGCAGTGTGAGGCCATCACCTGCAGAGGGAGTTGCAATGGAGAGCAACATCAGGAACCTATTAGGTAATGAAAAAATGTCAAGTACTGCAGGTGGGGTGAAGGTCTGTCTGTCAACGAGTGTGAGCATGTGTGTGTCTGTGTGTGAGAAAGCGAGTGAGGAGAATGAGAGGTAAAGAATGTCATGTGAAGAAGATAAATGACGTCAGATATCACTTTAGAATTTTTTTTAGGGTCTTTTAGTTTGATTTAATAAGAACAACTAGGACCTGCAGTAAGTTGCTAGGAAGAATTGCACGTAATACTGATGAATGTTTACACAATCAGCCATGTGTATGTAATCGGAGCATCCATTTCTTCCTTCCTTCCTGTGTGGTCCTTCAGACTTAAAATAATGTGTTTGAACTAAATTAATGTAGAAGCACAGTCACAAAAAAATGCTTCGAAAATAGAAAATAACCGTTTTTAAAATGGCTTATATATAATGTAAATGGTGTAGTAGGGTACCATGATATACGTTAGTCACTATAAATCCTAAATCTGCTGCTCTTGCTCTTTTACCAGGTCAAGAGGTCAGGCTATATGGGACTACTCTTCTTTTATTACCTGCGTGTTGTCCATGACATGTATAGAAGGGACAGCTTTATGTTATTGTATACAAGTAACCCGGCAGCATGCCTTAAAGACCCTGTGTAGGGTAACAACCAGAGCTTCAGGACCTTTGAACAATCTCACTGATGAAAGGTGTTCCTGGAAATAACCCCTTTGACTCATTTCCCAAACACCTCAGGGGGAGAGCGGAACATGTAAGACAGCACAATGAAAACAAAAACAAATCCCACCAAGAACCAGATGAATCAATAGAGAACGGACATATAAACAGCGCTGCAGGCTGTGTGTGTTCTGAACCCACTTGTTCTTTGGATTTCCTGACAGCAGAGCTTCAATGTTTGTCCACAAATTGATCAACGTAAAAATAATAGCCAACCATTTTGATAACGGATAAATAAATAGATAGTCAAAAATGGAGATTTCCTTTGACATTAAACTATATATCTTTGGGTATTGGACTCAGAAAATAAGCAGTTTTCTTTCCTGCTTTTCTAGAGAAAAGAGAACCTGTACGTGTAGATTTCTTGTTTCCAGGCACAATTTGGGTTTGACATTGTTTAGTTGTTGCTTTCACATGTGGTTTCGACCCTGATGGCAGATCACACGAGAACTGTGTGAGAACAAGCAGGGAAATATTGAATCAACTCACCATTATTTGTATCTCGCACTTGCACACCTGCAAATCATGCTCATTGTTGACATACATCCTCTTCAGGGCGCAGCGCACCCCTTGATTTGTTCGCACCAGGAACACAATTGCAAAGCCACCTGTAGGGGTGAGAAAGAAAACATAAAGAAATGTCACAACCCCGAAATCTAGATGCACACTAAAACATTATTGCCAGGTTCAATACAACATGTAAAAGAGATATGGGGAATCCCAGCATCACAGCATTGTCACAAGTTTTCTTTTGTGCATTTTGGAAATGTAGCTGAACATTTTACACCCAATTACTTCCACAACTGTTGTAATCTGGGTTTGGACATCAGAAAGGATAATCAGGACCAAATGGTGCAGCCTTATAGTGTTATATATTAGTCATAGCGTTGCTGCAGGGTTTACGGAGAGGCCTACATTGAGGCCTAACCATCTGGTATAGCTCAGACCACAAATTCACTTTGCCGAGTTCACTTGTGACAGTCATCAGTTTCAGACAGACATTGCGGTCATACTGCATTCTCTCTTCGACAAAAGTGAAATGGTATTGTATGGCACGGTAGCTCTCTCAGACTTTGTCTCATGTTGCTGTCGGTATTGAAGGGCAAGTAACTAATTGACAAACTATTTCATTATTTTGTTTGTTTATGTTTTGAGTAAGGGGCAGGCCAAATAACATTGTTCTTCTCCCTGCTAGACACTTATAACCGGGTGTTTTCTTTGGTTGATTCTAGAGCTTTGCATACTGTAAAGGAGATGTAATTATCTCACCCTATGGTTAAGAAGATTATGTTCAATCAAAATGCATGAGAGTAAAGGAATGTTTGACAATAGCAGGTTCATCACTGTCATATTCTCTCATGTAATTGTTACTGTACTCGTCTTAGCACATATGCTACTATTGGCTTACATGATGCTCAGATAAACTGTACAATAGAAAAAGAAGAATACCAAATTCCCAGGTTTAAATGGTGAATAGTTGTTTTTAATCAAGTACAGGCCTCCACGTCACCATCAGTGAATGTGCTGCTGATGCCAAACAGTCATACCATCAGTATCTATTCAGAAATACAACAATTGCACTACACATTAACCCTTCATTTATTCATATAAAAAGGGGATACAATAACAGCTCTTTCAGCACCAGACAGGTATACACATTCTTCAATCACACTTCTGATTCATAAAACAGTTGTGTTAGTCAGTGCGAAGCTGAGAAAGGCAGTCGGCCTCTTTTTGCATGAATGCATCATGCCTGTGGGGATGGCATAAGGTTACATCCCAGCCTGCCCTGTCATGTGATTCAAGTATGTGGCTTGCACATCATATTCTAAATTGAACCTCATGCATTTAAATATATAGGGATAAAGGTTACAATAAATGGCATCATTCGGCCTGTGCAACCCCTTCTCACCTTCAGCAATGATCTCCTCCACAGTGACTTGGTGCCGCCCGACAGTGAAGTTTCTGCCAATGAAATTTCCGCCTGCATGACTGGACCCCGAGCTGCCCCCCCCTCCAGAACCGGGCCCGGAGCTCACCAACTCCCGACGGGAATCAAAGAACTTCCTCATGTTGTCAGGCTGACAGGAGGTGTATCAATCACTCAGATGAAGGGATTGTTTCCTGTGCACTGAAATATTGCACTGATATATAAATGCTGGTCAGAATGTGCACCTAAAATCGGACGAGTCTACTTTTAGTCTCAAACCATGCAGGGATGCCTTTTTTACTTGTGATTTTGACAGATTTGTTGGTAGCAGATCCCATTTGCTTGCCAAACACAAGCCAGTTTGTGATAGCTAGAGCGGTTGCGACTCGCTTGTTATGTAAGTGAATTACACCACCCAGGAGGCTAAAGCATCTCCGGAGAAAGTCTTTCTTTAGCTATCCATCCAGCTGTTCATGGTCGGCTGCTGATGATGATAACATTAGCTCCTTCTCCATCTCGTCCAGCCATTACAGAGCTAGCTAAGTGCTAGCTACTTAACGCGCTATGACATTTCGTGTAAGGTTATCCAGGTTATCCTCTGAAGATAATGTCTTATGTTGCGATGTATCCGACGTGTGACTTGTGTGTTCGCGATACCTGGAACAATCTTTCCATCCTCAGTCAAGTGAAGCCGCCTTTGGATGGCACATAGCTGCCCGTCGAGCTATTTAATTGCTCCCATTTAGATTAAAACTGTGATTTTGTTGTAAGCTAACGTGTTAGCGCCGCTGCAGCCATTGACAAACACAAGCACGCGCGGGGTCGACAGACAACGTAATCCTCCGTCTGATGCGACTGCAGATAAAAAACATACAATTTGACATCTACCAAAACGTTAGGCAGAGGTTTCAACCCAGCAGCCTAATCTCTGCAACCACAGCAATCTTTGGCTGCCAGCGATATCGCAACATCCGAGCTGTTGCTGTTGACGCACGGACGGAATTCTGGATATTGTAGTTCAGAGCGAAGCTGCAGCCTCCCCTCCCCCTAGCGAATGTGGTCATATGGGGCGTTCAAGTCCTATCGCTCAGCCCGGAAATACGAGTAGTAAGGGAAACCTTTAACACGCTTTACACTAGTTCAGTTCGGTTATCAGTAATAACAGTGGTGGAAAGCAACAATGTACATTTTCTCAAGTATTGTACTTTTTTGAATATTTGTACTTTTACTTCTTTCGAGTTTGTCTATGTATTGCTTGTTTATACTTATGCCCCACTACATTGTACTTTTTACTCCACTACTTTATTTTAACACAAACAGTTACAAGTTACTTTGTTTTCACTTGTTTCTCTCTAAAAATGTGTATCAGAATAAAGCTTATTTTTATATTTTGTGAAGAGAAATACTAATGAAAAAGAAGATAATAAATAAAATACAAGTAATAAGGGTAAAAGCAGCATAATCAATGAAGAAAGCTGCCCCTGTGACTGATATCAATTATCTATTACATCAGTAGGTTATTGCCACTTAAGCAATAAAGAAAAAGCAGCATTTTAACAATATTTATATGACTGCAGCTTATGATTGCTTTATCATGTATGGTCACTCTGACAACTCGTGCCCATGTTGAGACCGTGCCCATGTTGAGACCGACTTCCCAACTCTGTCTATCTGTCTGTCTGTCTGTCTGTCTGTCTGTCTGTCTATCTATCTGTGAAGGATTTTATCTCACAACCTTCTGTGGAGCAGCTCCTCCTCCAGTTTAACTATCGTGAATCTATAACGAGATCTATTTTTTTACTTTTTTAACAGTTTATATTACAATATAAACAGGGCTGCACATAACTGGTGCGCAGGTGCGCATGCGCACCTCCGCCAAAAAAAGAGCACCGGGTTATTTGAAACAAAGCGCATTTGCGTACCAACATTGAGAGGGAGAGAGTTAAGAGAAAAGAGAAAAGAGAAAATAGAGGAGAGAGGAGAGATGAGGAAGAGAGAGAGAGAAAGATATTTGCGAGTTGCATATGAACCATGATATGAACTCAGGGCCTAGGGCGCCAGATCTGGGGAGGTGCTGCGTTTGCAGTTCTGGGAGGGAAAAAAACATTTTGACCGTTGGGGCTCATCCTAATTTTCGGCCTTGATATAACAATATTCACAATTAAGTAAATGTAACACCCTTTTCACCCCGGTTCCACCTTTAATTTGCCCTGTACGATGGGCGCTGTAAGTGATGAAAATGGGGGATGTTGGTTTATCTGGCGCCCGCAGCTCACAGACAAAATGCGAGTGAGCGAGGGAGGGAGGGAGGGTGGTACCAGAAACAATAAACGTGCTCAAAAACCAATAACCAACTATTTCAAATACTGCATTAAAATCGTTGAATTTAAGTTTAATTTCAACTTGCAAATTTCAGAATTCAAATCATCAAAAACATTAAGGAAGAGGAAGAAACCCAAAACATGTACTGTTAGTAGCCTACATCTAGCTTTGCAAGCTATGTGAGCATTAGTGTTTTTTTGTTATCACTTTAAATGAAAACTGTTAAATTGTAAACTTAATCTGCAGGTGAAGCCCATGAGCTGGATATGTGACCTTTACCTCTATGATACATTTGCATTGCTTTTTTATATTTTGAATACGATAATCTTAATATTTAAATTAACCAAAGCAGCCACTCAGTACATGTATCAAGGTAAAAACAAAATAGAGTCTACAATATTTCCTTTATATTTGTGCCGACATCCCGTGAATGCAGCAGTACCTTGTGTGACGTGGAGTCTAAAGGCGGATCTTGTAAAATCCAAGTGGGTGGGACATTAGAGTGCAGCTGTAAATTATAAGGTTTAGTTTTCCGGTATACTGACACATTAACCTCTTGTCGGGAATCCCGCGAATAAATTGGTCTTCAGCTCAGGTAAGGTGTCCTTCAGGGTCCGGTTGGTCATGGTTCAGAGGGGTTTCTGAGCGGTAGTTCTGCGGTATGATTCGGCAGAAGAGCTCCGACAGTATCTGCAGGGTGTGCCCACTAACTTCATGCCAAGTTCACTGTTAAACTGCTCAGTGCTCCGCTTCCGAATCACTTTATTGCATTTGAATAACTGTAGTGTGGACTTTTAAGTATTTTGGGCATACATTTAATTTGCAGTTATAACTTGTGATACATAATGATCGGGTATATGTTTTTTAGCCTTAGCTTTTAGTGTACAGAGGACTATCCTTTCCTAGTATTGCTCAATTTCAAATGAACTCGCTGACGTTAGATATTATCACTTGCTTTGAAATAAGAAAAACGGTAAACCTGAATACTAAATGACTAATTTGAGATGCCCACTATTAAGAAATCAATTGTGTATATATCCAATATAGCCAATGTTAATAACCTTAACGCCCTACAAATAAACAGTGTACACATTTCAAACTTAACTTGATACAATTTGTATACTGCTGTAACTGGAGCTAATAACAGGGTTAGCACTTGTGTTAGTTCAGAAGAAGAATTCACAGTGTTAACGTTGTGCTTTGGAAACATGATTCACTTTGTGTTTATTTACGGTCTGTGGTCCATACACATGGTCTGCAGTGTTTGTAGGAGTCACCTGCCTGTATTTACATCACAAACCACTCAGGTGTGCCTCTGCTACTCACAGACTTCTGGACACTTTGTTCAACAAGAAAATGTTGACGAGAGTCTTATTTTTGTCTATAATAAGCAACTTAAACTTGTAATATGTTTGAGCTGAGGGTATTCTTATACCCAAAATGCACTTTGACAAATAAATGAAATGTATGTCAATGGGTAAGTTGATCCCTACCTGCAGGAAACGCCACTATCTTATCCCTCAGTGGAGTAATTACAGGTGTGTCTAAACAAACACCAGCTCAATGATACTACCCCTGAGACGTTGAACGGTTGTGGAACAAAAGAGAGCCAATGACCAAATTTGTTTGACAGGAACCCTCTGAGAGGATGAACTGCATACAATATAGATTGAGGTGAATGAGGGTCACCAGTTAACTGACCCCTAACCTGCAGTTCATTCGTTCCTTGTGCAAGTGACAAATGATCATCATGTTTTTATTCTGTTGTAGCTTTCTGCACTTCCAGTTTGAAAATCCTCACTCTTCTTACAATGGCAGCGGTAAGTCCGACCCCCAGCATCTGTTTCACATTTACATGTATTTGCATCACCAGTAGAGACTGTGCTTTGGAGATTGGATTGTTTTGTTCTGCTTGGTTGTAAATATTGCTGGACAAGCCATACATATTAAAATTCCTTATCTTTTATGAAAATCCCTTGTAATGATATTGCAAGGTTGCGATTCACATTTGCTACTGCAACCGGCGATGCAAGTGTTAGGTCTGCTGTCATGTTCATTTGATGATCACAAACTAGACACAAACCATGGTAAAAATGATATCAATATTTAAATGTCAAGGTTGCATTCTTATTTTCTTTTATTCATAATACAACTTTGCAGTTTTCTTTTAATACATGGGCAAAAGTTAGTTGAAAGTCTCAAAAAAAGATTTTGAAGCTCCTAAACTTTGTCCTGCTTTTTAAAATATAAAACGCATTTCTTTCTGACACGTAAAAAAGGATACTACTTTGTACTTGCATAATACTATAGCATCATAGATGTTACTTTGCCTCAAAAGATCCTCTCCAGATGTTAATAATACATATAAATGATCTGCTTTGAATAATTATCTGTCTATTTTTCTCATAAGCACCTCTTCTCCTTCCTACATTTCAAAAGTGAAACTACTTTGCACGAGGTCTCTAGCAAGGTCTCTTACAAGGTCTCTAAGGTCTCTATAAAGTGAACTGAAAAGTTCATTCTGAGAGAAATCACCACACCTTGAACTCTGTTTAAGCTGCAAATTTAGGGCAAGAAAACGTTCTCTTTTCAGCAGAAACATTTGAAAACAGCCTTTAGTGTTCAACAGCACATCATTCTGCACTGGGAAGGTCAAACAGCATGTGAAGTAATAATAAGAACAACACATTTTGAAGTTTTCACTGCTTATTTATTAATTGTTTTGTTATTTCCAATCAGATTGGAAACCGTGGAACAGTGACTGAGGCGACTGGTTTCAACCCAGATGCAGATGTCCAGGCTCTCCGAGAAGCCATGAAGGGAACCGGTGAGTGATCCAGAAACCATCATCAGATGAAGACATCTTGAGCCTGTCATTAAGCCTCCATGGGGAAAGATATGTATTTTCTGCCTCTCTCCTCTCCAGGAAAGTCTGAAACCAAACTCAGTGTTGCTCAGTGTTGTCATGGCAGCTTTCTGTTTTCATAGCCCGTTCATTAAACTGAGTAGTGCTGTGTACTTTGCCTCATCTCTTCTCTCTGTCGTAAAGCTTCCTCTTCACTTCTGATATGGAGGGAAAATGTATCTGGACTTTGCTGATCATGCAGTAAGAAATAGTGAACTAATCTCATTATGGGTTGCACTGTTCTGAAACTATGCTGGCAGGTATGCATCACTCAAAGACAGTTGTGCAAACATTCAGGAGTACACAACTAACCTCATTTCTTTCTCTGTCTGGACATTTGAAGCCAGGAATGTTGATGCTGTTCGAGTTCCGCTAGAATAATCATCTTCCCCTGACTCTTGTTGAGCTCTATTGCAAACAGATGGTTTGTTTGCCGATGCCAACAAACAGCTGAGTGTTAGGATCATCTCCAGGGATGAGAGCTTGTTCTTAAACCGAGCTCCAAGACAAGTTGTTAATGATTGTACAAGTTGAGACATTTAAAATGAATATTAGTATAAGATTTGTGTTTTATTCATTTCAGGCACTGATGAAGCAGCTGTCATCCAGGTCCTAGCCCCCCGCACTATTGCCCAGAGGCAGCACATCAAGGAGGCCTACAAACTATCAGTGGGGAAGGTGAGCGTTTTCACTGAGCTGTACTCAAAGGCAGCACATTAGGTTCAATTACGTTAAATAAGGCTATTCATGAGTAGGTTATTTACTCTAAATAGCAGCCTTGA